CATTAAATCATCAGATCATTAAATCATCAGATCATTAAATCGTCAAACCATTAAATTATAAGATCATTAAATCATCAGATCATTAAATCAACAGATCATTAAATTGTCAGACCATTAAATGATCAGATCATTAAATCATCAGATCATTAAATCGTCAGACCATTAAATTATCAGATCATTAAATGCTCAGATCATTAAATTATCAGTTCATCAAATCATCAGATCATTAAATCGTCAGACCATTAAATTATCAGATCATTAAATCATCAGTTCATTAAATCATCAGATCATTAAATCGTCAGACCATTAAATTATTAGATCATTAAATCGTCAGACCATTAAATTATCAGTTCATTAAATCATCAGATCATTAAATCGTCAGACCATTAAATCATCAGATCATTAAATCGTTAGATCATTAAATCATCAGATCATTTAATAATCAGATCATTAAATCATCAGATCATTAAATCATCAGTTCATTAAATTATCATATCATTAAATCATCAGATCATTTAATAATCAGATCATTAAATCATCAGATCATTAAATCATCAGTTCATTAATTGTCCTCTGTGTGTCCTCTGTGTGTCCCTTGTCCTCTGTGTCTCCTCTATATGTCCTCTGTGTCTCCTCTATGTGTCCTCTGTGTCTTCTGTGTATCCCCTGTGTGTCCTCTATGTGTCCTCTGTGTATCCTCTGTGTGTCTCCTGTGTGTCCCCTGTCCTCTCTTGTTTGCAGCATTGGAGGATATGGAACATATCAAAACGTCATCACACTGGCGAGTACGTTACTTTATTTTACTCAGATTGATTTTTAAAGAAAACATGCTACACGTCAATAATTTTCAGGATGACCTGTTGTTTCATTTCAGGATGACCTGTGTTTTATTTCAGGATGGCCTGTGTTTTATTTCATGATGACCTGTGTTTTATTTCAGGATGACCTGTTGTTTTATTTCATGATGACCTGTTGTTCTATTTCAGGATGACTTGTTGTTTTATTTCATGATGACCTGTTGTTCTATTTCAGGATGACCTGTGTTTTATTTCATGATGACCTGTTGTTTTATTTCATGATGACCTGTTGTTCTATTTCAGGATGACCTGTGTTTTATTTCATGATGACCTGTGTTTTATTTCAGGATGACCTGTTGTTCTATTTCATGATGGCCTGTGTTTTATTTCAGGATGGCCTGTGTTTTATTTCATGATGGCCTGTGTTTTATTTCATGATGACCTGTTGTTTTATTTCAGGATGACCTGTGTTTTATTTCATGATGGCCTGTGTTTTATTTCAGGATGACCTGTGTTTTATTTCATGATGACCTGTTGTTCTATTTCAGGATGACCTGTGTTTTATTTCATGATGACCTGTGTTTTATTTCAGGATGACCTGTTGTTCTATTTCATGATGGCCTGTGTTTTATTTCAGGATGGCCTGTGTTTTATTTCATGATGGCCTGTGTTTTATTTCATGATGACCTGTTGTTTTATTTCAGGATGACCTGTGTTTTATTTCATGATGGCCTGTGTTTTATTTCAGGATGACCTGTGTTTTATTTCATGATGACCTGTTGTTCTATTTCAGGATGACCTGTGTTTTATTTCATGATGACCTGTTGTTTTATTTCATGATGACCTGTTGTTCTATTTCAGGATGACCTGTGTTTTATTTCATGATGACCTGTGTTTTATTTCAGGATGACCTGTTGTTCTATTTCATGATGGCCTGTGTTTTATTTCAGGATGGCCTGTGTTTTATTTCATGATGGCCTGTGTTTTATTTCATGATGACCTGTTGTTTTATTTCAGGATGACCTGTGTTTTATTTCATGATGGCCTGTGTTTTATTTCAGGATGACCTGTGTTTTATTTCATGATGACCTGTTGTTCTATTTCAGGATGACCTGTGTTTTATTTCATGATGACCTGTTGTTTTATTTCATGATGACCTGTTGTTCTATTTCAGGATGACCTGTGTTTTATTTCATGATGACCTGTGTTTTATTTCAGGATGACCTGTTGTTCTATTTCATGATGGCCTGTGTTTTATTTCAGGATGGCCTGTGTTTTATTTCATGATGGCCTGTGTTTTATTTCATGATGACCTGTTGTTTTATTTCAGGATGACCTGTGTTTTATTTCATGATGGCCTGTGTTTTATTTCAGGATGACCTGTTTTTTATTTCATGATGACCTGTTGTTCTATTTCAGGATGACCTGTGTTTTATTTCATGATGACCTGTGTTTTATTTCAGGATGACCTGTGTTTTATTTCATGATGACCTGTGTTTTATTTCAGGATGGCCTGTGTTTTATTTCATGATGACCTGTGTTTTATTTCATGATGACCTGTGTTTTATTTCATGATGACCTGTGTTTTATTTCAGGATGACCTGTGTTTTATTTCAGGATGGCCTGTGTTTTATTTCATGATGACCTGTGTTTTATTTCATGATGACCTGTGTTTTATTTCATGATGACCTGTGTTTTATTTCAGGATGGCCTGTGTTTTATTTCATGATGACCTGTGTTTTATTTCATGATGACCTGTGTTTTATTTCATGATGACCTGTGTTTTATTTCAGGATGGCCTGTGTTTTATTTCATGATGACCTGTGTTTTATTTCATGATGACCTGTGTTTTATTTCATGATGACCTGTGTTTTATTTCAGGATGGCCTGTGTTTTATTTCAGGATGACCTGTGTTTTATTTCATGATGACCTGTGTTTTATTTCATGATGACCTGTGTTTTATTTCATGATGACCTGTGTTTTATTTCAGGATGGCCTGTGTTTTATTTCATGATGACCTGTGTTTTATTTCATGATGACCTGTGTTTTATTTCATGATGACCTGTGTTTTATTTCAGGATGGCCTGTGTTTTATTTCATGATGACCTGTGTTTTATTTCATGATGACCTGTGTTTTATTTCATGATGACCTGTGTTTTATTTCAGGATGGCCTGTGTTTTATTTCATGATGACCTGTGTTTTATTTCATGATGACCTGTGTTTTATTTCATGATGACCTGTGTTTTATTTCAGGATGGCCTGTGTTTTATTTCATGATGACCTGTGTTTTATTTCATGATGACCTGTGTTTTATTTCATGATGACCTGTGTTTTATTTCAGGATGGCCTGTGTTTTATTTCATGATGACCTGTGTTTTATTTCATGATGACCTGTGTTTTATTTCATGATGACCTGTGTTTTATTTCAGGATGGCCTGTGTTTTATTTCATGATGACCTGTGTTTTATTTCATGATGACCTGTGTTTTATTTCATGATGACCTGTGTTTTATTTCAGGATGGCCTGTGTTTTATTTCATGATGACCTGTGTTTTATTTCATGATGACCTGTGTTTTATTTCATGATGACCTGTGTTTTATTTCAGGATGACCTGTGTTTTATTTCATGATGACCTGTGTTTTATTTCATGATGACCTGTGTTTTATTTCATGATGACCTGTGTTTTATTTCATGATGACCTGTGTTTTATTTCAGGATGGCCTGTGTTTTATTTCATGATGACCTGTGTTTTATTTCATGATGACCTGTGTTTTATTTCATGATGACCTGTGTTTTATTTCAGGATGGCCTGTGTTTTATTTCATGATGACCTGTGTTTTATTTCATGATGACCTGTGTTTTATTTCATGATGACCTGTGTTTTATTTCAGGATGGCCTGTGTTTTATTTCATGATGACCTGTGTTTTATTTCATGATGACCTGTGTTTTATTTCATGATGACCTGTGTTTTATTTCAGGATGGCCTGTGTTTTATTTCATGATGACCTGTGTTTTATTTCATGATGACCTGTGTTTTATTTCATGATGACCTGTGTTTTATTTCAGGATGGCCTGTGTTTTATTTCATGATGACCTGTGTTTTATTTCATGATGACCTGTGTTTTATTTCATGATGACCTGTGTTTTATTTCAGGATGACCTGTTGTTTTATTTATCAGATATGAGTCACTTAACTGTTTGATCATCTGGTCGTCCAGATATCTTTAAACTCTTCAATCCCAATCTGCTGGGTCCGTCACCTGTGTGGACCTTCCACGGCCAGCCAACCACCGTCAACCAGACCGGATTCAACTTCGCCGTCACTGGCCACAACACACTGTAAGACTCCGCCCACTCACACCGTCACTATTTCAGTGGTCCTCAGCTGTGTTCATATCAATGGTCCTTGAAGTGACACGCATCAGATCACCAACCCCTGTTTGATGAGGTTTCTCTTCAGGGACATCCGTCTGAAAAACAGGTCTGTTGTCAGATTCAAGACCAGAATGAGCAGGTAGCTGTGGAGGAGGTGAAACCTTTGATCAGAACAGTTGCTCTCATGACTCTCACTGTGTTCACCTCTACACTGAATTAAATGGTGACAATAAACTTTTATTCATTTATCTGAGTCCACCTGGAGCTCTGAAAGGGCCCTTGGGGATCCTCTGACCCCTGGTTGAGAACCAGTGGTTCATGTTATATCTGTAGTTTTTAGTTGGAGCAGCAGGTCATCAGCTCGCTGTGTTGGCTGGTGGGTCCACAGAACTTTACCCATCTGTCCCCATCTGTCCCCCCTTCACATTAAAGACATGAGGGCAGCAGAGGACAGACTTAAAGACATTTCCATCATAAACTAAGGCAGAAAATTAAACAAGTTGGTGCATAAACATTCACCAGAACACAGGAAATGACATGTTTCATACTCAAACCTTTCTGGTGCAGGAGCCCACCCCACCTTTTATCAGTTACAGACAGATTACAGTCTGGTTTATGTAAACAGTGACATCATGTCATGAAGTAAACAATAAATAAATCATAACAATTAAAGATAATTGTCATGTTGCAGCTGTTACAGAGTTCAGACTCTGACAGTCTTCATCATCTTCTTCTTCAGCTCAAACATCAAAATAATTTAATTATCACTGTAAATGATATAATGGTGTTTAATGTGTGTGTGTGTGTGTGTGTGTGTGTGTGTGTGTGTGTGCGTGCGTGTGCGCGTGTGCGTATGTTGATCTGCAGGAATGTCTCAGATCAGATCAGACACATGATCGACACCTTCAGGTCGTACCCAGTGAGTCTCTGCGTTCTGTTTTTGAGATGATGAATGTGTTTACTTCCTGTCGTGGCGTTCACAGTCAGCTGGTCTCTGTCAGGGTCTGAACTATGACGAGGACTGGAAGGTGGTGACGATGCTCATTGGCATGAACGACATCTGTGACTACTGCAAAGACAAAGTAAGACAAGTCGCTCAGTTAGAGTTTAATATGAATGTGTTTATGTGATCATTGTTATTATATGTCATTATTTAGNTGTGTGTGTGTGTGTGTGTGTGTGTGCGTGCGTGTGCGCGTGTGCGTATGTTGATCTGCAGGAATGTCTCAGATCAGATCAGACACATGATCGACACCTTCAGGTCGTACCCAGTGAGTCTCTGCGTTCTGTTTTTGAGATGATGAATGTGTTTACTTCCTGTCGTGGCGTTCACAGTCAGCTGGTCTCTGTCAGGGTCTGAACTATGACGAGGACTGGAAGGTGGTGACGATGCTCATTGGCATGAACGACATCTGTGACTACTGCAAAGACAAAGTAAGACAAGTCGCTCAGTTAGAGTTTAATATGAATGTGTTTATGTGATCATTGTTATTATATGTCATTATTTAGTTTTCTCTTTAACAATATTAAAGGTGAATGTTTCAGATAAAGTTTCCTGACACTCTGCTCTGTTCATTATTTATCTTTATCCATGATGTGTATTTCAAACTCTGCATTAATAAAAACATAAACAATATAAACATGATTGTGAGCAGTTTAAATGTGCGTGTGGGGTCACCACTCTGTGACGTCACTGTGTGTTTGTGTTCACAGGTGAAACCAGGGGCGAAAATCCCATTTCGTAGTTGGGGGGGAAAATAAACAGTAAAATTGTAGAGAATAATTCCAGGGAGGGGACAAGGAAAAAAAGTTGTAGCCTGTCTTTTATACAGCATCTTTTACCGCAATTTGACACTTTAATCTTTTCTCTATCTCTCCAACAGGCAGGCATAGGCCCTTTCTTAGCACTGGCTGAGTCCACCTGCACATGTCCAGATTTAAAACAAAATGATTGAAATCAAATTAACATGTGCACATCGACAACAGTCAGGTGCGCCGTGCTGTCCAAGGCGCTGAGTGTGTCTGGAGCAGAGCAGGTCTCTGTCTCCCCGTGCACAGTAGTGTGAATATTTATGCTATTAAGTAAACGGAGAAAACATGTCTCTCATTGTTTAATAGCAGCAAAACAATAAGGCTTGTCTCTCCTTCTCTCCCTCTTTTTCATCTGGCTCAGGTTTGTGGAATGGATCCGTC